GAGTGTGATGGAAATGTAATAGACTTAATTGGCATTCTATTTTAGACCACAGTTCCCTTTGAAACTCATATTGAGACCGCTTTTACTATTACATAATATTATGTATATATATTACTGTTATAAAAGAAGAAGATGAGATTAGGCGTCTAGTTATGAGTCTATTGACGATTTCCAATGAGTTTGTACAACTCCTTAATTTTGATTGACTGCCTGTAAACAAATTGTTTATAGGCTGACTGTAAAGAATCTATTANGTCTATTGACGATTTCCAATGAGTTTGTACAACTCCTTAATTTTGATTGACTGCCTGTAAACAAATTGTTTATAGGCTGACTGTAAAGAATCTATTCTTTATTCAATGCAACAGTGATACCATGTAAACATTGACGACATAATATCATCAACTAATAATAAAACCCCAAATACTTTAAGTGAGAGTAAGACTCATGTTGTATGATGTAGCAATTAATTACAAGTCAGCTACCACATTTGCAAATACAAATAAGAAAGCCTATACATCACCTTGGTCCTAAGCGGAAATGATAAATTAGAAACCTTCTTGTAGACTAATTGAAACCTGCAAATTAGTGAAGAGAGTGATGTTCAGTTGGTTTTATTTGTTAAAGTGCTATTGGAGTGGTTGACGACTTAGAGAAAAACCTATAAATTATACAATTAACTAAATCCATATCAAGATTTTTTAAAATTAACAACCAATAAAATATTTTTTAAAAAATTGGGGTAAGATAGGAAGTTAGTTATATAGATCACAATTTTATTTCATTTCGTCATTTATTTTTTCTAAGAAAAAAAAGTCGATTAATTGTAAGAATATCTTAACATGATAAAAAATTATTTTTTTTATTATTTTTTATTTCATGTTAACCAAATATCTTTTTTGGCATTTTCTACAATTATCTCGCTAAACAAACAGATCCTAAAGGAATAGATAGTTAAAGTCCAAATGCTTATTTTATTTTATTTATTTAATTTTTTTCCCAAATGTTTAGGGATTTGATTTCAAAGTTTAAATTTGCCTATGGGTAAGATTTATGTCCCCCATATCTTCATTATTTTGGTTCGTTAATAAAGTCGCTCATAAGTAGGTTTTTTTATTTAAAAGTAATCGACATGAAATTTAAAACATCATAATTTGTTAAGACGAATGATAAACGAGTTATTGACACCCAATTCTCATTTGTTCTTCATTCGCTTTTATCCTCACAACATCTTCTTCTAGATACATGCTCGCGTGCAATTTTAAAAACCCATATGCTTGAATGAATCTGGGCAGCTAACGTTTCAGACCATTTTGGTCGTTAGCTTAAATGATAATTTAGAAAGCCTTCTTCTAGACTAATTGAAACCTGCAAGTTAGTGAAGAAAGCGATTGACCACTAGGGAAAAATGCAGAAAAAGGTTCATCTACTGCCGTTGGTAATTGGTAGTTCACTTTTATTGAATGACATTGTCAATTTACCAAAACAATTGACTTTATTTTTATTAGAGTTGAAAAAAATAGTTTCCTGAATAAAACTAGCTCTTTTCTGATCAAGCCACAACCATGGTAATTTTATTATATTGTATAGGAATATCAAATAAAATGATTGGACATAAAAAAAAAAAAAAGTTAGGCTTAATCGATGTGATATTCGTGACATTCTCCGCCACCTAAAGGTTGGATGCCTCGTCACATTTGACTCCACCCCTGATGCTGCCTCAACCCTAGTATCCTAATTAAGAGGGGTGATAATCGAGATAAATTTGAGCCTAAACCTTCGATTATTTACAAATAAACGAGTTGGCTTGTTTGATTATTTACACATAAACGAGCTTAAAAAAATATTCAAATTTGGCTCGATTAACAGGGGCCGATCTAATACTATTTGTCACTAATCATCCCACCCTAATAGCAAGCTATGTAGTTGTTTTAAATGCTACCACATGTATATTGGTTTTTTTTTTGTTTTTTTCTTTTTTTGGGGGGGAGGGGGGAATAGATGCAGGTGAAATTTGAAAGGTATATTTGCACATTTTCCATTGAATGGTTGTCTTTGTAAGAAAAGGTGCCTTTTGTATGAAATGTGTGTTCACTTCACGTGGTGTCTCTCTATAAAAGAGTGTCTTTTGCCACTCTTTTTTCTTAATTAATAAATACAACTCATTTCATTCAACTGCTTGAAAATCAACTCCCACTCCTCCTCCAAAACTCTACAGTACCTGGAGTCATTATTCTTGTTTTTTTTATTCTAAAAGTTCAGATAATTTTAAGCTCTATCAAGTCTTCGAATAATAAGTGAAATTCGGTTTTTTTATTGGTTTTTTTTTT